AGTAATGTGCAAAAAAAGTTCTTTGAGAGATTAGTGGTATAACATTAACATTTAAAATTTCAGAGAGACATTTTGACAAGTAACATGCTGTGAATCAGATTTTTGTTGCTGAAGGATTGTCAGCAAGGTTTCATCTTTCCTGTGTATATTTTGAAAAGCCAAGAGAATCAGATGTTCTTGTTTCATAAGCGTACAGAGGCATGTTTTTAACCTGTGCAATGAGGAAAATGAACTTTTAACTGCCTTTAGAGCATGGCCACGTTATTCCTGGTGATTAGCACCAGTTGGCTGAAGAGCAGCATTTATAGGCAGAACTTCAGGGTATAGAAAAATAACAGTATGAGATGAATATGTAAGTAACAAATACTCTGTTTCCATGGAATTGTGACGGAGGAAGACCAAATAAACACATTTTACATATATTATCATTGTAGCAAATAGAGGATTCTCTGTGTTGTCAGAGAGCAGAGAAAAAGAGATTATTGAAAATAGTTGTTAGGGGTTCAGGTCTGACATTATGCATTGTATGTGTTCACTTCCATTGGCATGAGGGAAAAGTGGTTTTGTTGGATTGCCAACTTCTGTACAATAGGAACATGTGAAATGCAAATACCGCTTAATGGGAATGTTTTTATTGTATATTTAGGGAAGAAACATCACTTTTCACTGAATAATATATGCAAAGACGTCATCAAGGACAGTAGCTTGGAGAATTAGTAATTAAGTTTTTGCAGACTATAACACACATTATTCTTATAAGCCAGTGTAAAGCAGCAATTCTTGTGTTGATCAATTAAAATACACCTAACTTTGTAGTTAAGTACTGTCCTGTGGCGTGTGTGGGAAAGGTTTAAGTCCTTTGCGCAAAGCTCTGTGTTCCTAAATTGAATAGCTGAAAATTTGTAATTTGCTGTAGTAAGACAGACCTTTGAACCAAATATTTGGAATTATCATCTATGATTTACCTAATGGGTTTTTTGCTTGTGTTTGCTGTTAATAATACATTATTGTTGTGGCTAATTTGCAAAAATAGGTTAGACATTTAGCGTTAGTATCCTTGAGTCAGCCTCAAGAGAGAGCTCCTTGCAGTCTGGCCAGATCATCAATATCATGACCGTTCATCTAACTTCTTAAAAATGTGCAGTTAAAATTTTACAGCAGTTCTTACTAGGCCATTCTGGTGCTTCACTAACCTGGAAAGGCATTTGGTATTATGGAACCTTGGTCCTTTTCCCCCCTCCCCCCCTGCCCTCCTGCTTATTAAAATACACACAGTGTTTATAGAGGAAGAGAGGGAAGAGTTATAAAAATAAATTTACGTAGACAGATTGTTTCAAACAAACAGTAACTTTTGGTCTAAATGTGATGTTTCCCACAGTAAAGCTACAATATCAGTGACCTACAGATAGATTGAATGCAGATCTGTATGAAGATGAAAAGCATCTGGTAGCACTGTAATGTCAGGAGATTAAAGATTCGCTGTAGCTAAGTGTATATTCATGTTGTACCAATTAGCAATTTCGGTGTTAATATTTTACAATTTGGCACGTGATCATGAAGCTTATATTTTGAGCAGGTAAAATGTAACTTCTTGTCTTCTTTTTTCTTGATCAGTTTGTTAGCACTCTTCTTGAATTTTGACTATGTAAACAGAAAAAAACCTCTAAACAGACTTGAAAAACTACTGTTTTCAAATCTAGTGCAGCTTACAGACTTAACAAAAAGTCAGGTTACTTGCTAACAAACGTGATTATGATGGAACACCTTACTTTAAACAGTGAATGGATTTCCAAAATGTGAACAGTAAACTCTGTGCTGGAGAAGATACTAGAGATGACATCTAGTAATACTCAGAATCCCGGGTTTTAATGGTGTCCTGAAATGAAAAGTCTTTCTCCAGCTGTTGATCTGAGCCCTGTTGAACTCAGCTGTCTCTACCTTAGCTGATTCCTGTTTCTTCTCTTCCTCATAGGATCTTTCTCTTTTCTGTGAAAACTGACAAAATACAACCTCGCCTTCCCCTTTTTCTTATTTCTTTTACCTGCTTGCTTCCAAATTCTTTATCATAAACACAGAAATTATACTTTGGCTTGTCATTTAGCCCTGGTTTTACCCAGGTAGCATCATGTCTTCATGTCTTCTAATCTGCTTCACACCTCGCTGCTTCATTTTTCTTCTTAGCATCTCGCTCTCTTTTATAATGGGATTCTCCAGTTCATAACTGAAAAGTAGAATGTTTTTTTAAAAATACATTTGGGTCAGCATGAAACAAAAAGTGTTGTAGTCTCTTTGTGTGAAATAAGAGACTAAACTAGTGTTTAGATTGTTCCTTCAGTGAATTTGGTTGCTTTATTTTAATGTCTTCAAACTTCTGTCATCACAACATTTTGTATGAAGGATATTCACAAGTTTCGTATACACTAAGCATTAAACAACATGCTTTTGGTTGTTTCAAACCTGCCACCTGTCTCAAAGCAAAAGGCAAAATATTTTGGTTTAGACAATATTGTAGCAAAACATTTACATTAGACCCTCTCTCCAGGTTTTCATCAAGGCTACATCTAACAATTATTTCAGTGCAACAGTTCTAAGGTACAGCCACGTAGTTGCATTTCCATCCACTTACATCACCTTGAAGCATCACCAAGGTCTGTCTTCTCATCCCACCAGTCAGCTGGTGAGATCCTTTTTGCTGGCCTTGACAGGTAAAGTCTTGTCCTTCTCACATCCATGCAGGATTCTGCTGTAAAGGAGTGATATTTCTAGCCTATCCTTATATAACTTCGTAATAACACGCTTGTTTCATTTTTCATTTGTTTTCCCCCTTCTCTGTTGTATCACACAAGCTGCTTGTCTTCCCTTTCAGGGTGCTTCAGGACTCATTCCCTCTGTCATCACTCATTCACTGTTTCTAGCATTCTATACCTTATCCTGATAGCCACTGTGATCAGTTTAACTCTGTCAAAAACTGATTTAGACCAAGTCCCATTAGAACATCAGTAAACTGCGGAAATAAGTCACAGTTAGGAAAAAGTGCTGTCAGCACCTTCTCTCAGTAGGGATGTTGGAGCCCTTTGATGGCTTGCGAGGGAGTGTTACCCAGCTGCTCGCTTCGTGTTAGGTCTTTTTTGTGGACTTGCAGCACAATCACAATCGAATTTGAGACCTAAGCTTGGAACAAAATCAGGTTGACTCTGGTTGCATTCCTGGCCCAACACAATAATAAGATCAACAAGCATGGTAGGAACAATGTGTTACAATTTTAAAAGACCAGAAAACTTAAGTAATAGCTGCGGGTGTGACAGGCTGTGTACTGTGACTGATGAATCAAGTCATCTTTCTTTAAAACTTGCCATTTTGTGTTCTGCTGTTGAAGTTAGGAATCAAAAGTTTCCTGGTTTGTGAGTGCCAGGAACCAGAGAATGAATGTATACTTGTAATTCGTTGTCAGGAATTGACAATTTGCAACCCATTTGAAATTTCTTCTTGGAACTGAATAAAGAACTTTTGGAGAAATAACCAAAGATTTAAAAATCAGAATTTGCAACTTGGGAGATGGAAGTCAGGGAATTTTGTTGAGGTCCTTCTTTAGTAGTAAGAACCTATTTGCAAACAACAGTGAATGCTTGGTAATGAGGAAGTGAATTGCTCCTTGAAATTTCTGCCAGACTTCTTGGAAATGTTCTGTTGAGAAGAACTAGTTAAAATGTCAGTATGAAGGATATTATTGTAGGTTCATAATTTCTTCTTGTAGGTATCATGTCTTCTATAATTTGAGATTCTGCAGTGCATTTGGGCTTTATAAATCAGATGAAATTACTTGCTTTTAAAGTTAACTTTTATGTTGATGAGGGTTTGTGCTATTTAGGTTTTAGGACTGATCTCGTGCCTATGTCAGCTGTTGCTGGAAATGATAGAGACATTTGGAATCTGGAAGGATCAGCTTCCCAAAATCATCATGACACCTTGGAAGAGTGCTGCCAGTTTCCTAATTGAGTCAAGCCATATTTTAAAAATCTGTGGATCCAATTTATGTTTTATCTGTGAGAATCATAAAGGGATGTACTGATAATTCCAAAGTCTCTGCCTGGCTACCAAGCAGATTGCCCTGCCATTGGCTACATTCCATCCAGCTTCTTGTTTGCAGTGGTACAACCCTCTGTGCCAGTGTGTGAAGTCAAGAAATGAAAGCAGGAACAACTATGGTGTGATTAGAATTAGCCTAATTTTTTTCTTTTGTTAATGCTAGTGATGAGGGGTTAAAATGAATACTAGAAGCTCCTGTCAAAGGTGTGACACAGTGCGAATGCGTGAGATACCTGAAGTTTTTGTAAGCTTTCAGTGTGGAAATCAAAGCATCACTTGCTGAGCCTTAGGATGGCATTCTTCCTTTCTCACCAAAGGGACTCACAAATAGCCCCACAAATGGTCTATTGCAGTTCTGTATCCCTGGAACAATTACATTCCTTGTAAGCTAATTTATTCTAGACAGTGCATTTTTCTATTTGCATGTGTTCTGTTACTTTGCTGCTCATAAATTCTCAGTGTAGAGAATAACCTTTACAAGGGATGAATAAGAATTTCCTGCATTTTATTATCTTCAGGGTTCCACTAGTGTTTTTCATTTTTGGAAAGTAAAAGATCCAAGGTCTACTGTTCTCCAGGATGCTGACAAATTATGTTACAGGCCTTATCTTAGCAGCTGAAGTAAATAGGGACCATAAAGGCTACTCTTTGCCTTCTGCTATTGTTTCACCTGAATTATGAAGCAACAGAAACACAAAATTAGGAATTATTTTAATTCTAGACTGCTTCAGTTTTTGTTACCTCTAACGTGTAAAATGAGTATATATTAAGGATGTGCATTTCTTATTGGGTAACTGAATGGAACTTCTGTTGTCAGCAAGTTTCTTTCCTGATTTTCTATGCATTATTCTAAAAATTGACTTCCTGGTAGCATGGTTCCATAAAATACATAAAAGTTTTTATCTGTTTTATAGGGTTGTGACTCTCAAATGAGCATGTCAGAAGTGTCCTGCAGTGAAAGTACCTCCTCTTGTCAGTCGCTGGTACATGGCTCAGCCCCAGAAATCCTCATTGGCCTCCTTTATAATGCTACAACTGGAAGATTATCAGCAGAAGTGATAAAAGGCAGCCACTTCAAAAACTTGGCAGCGAACAGACCACCCAGTGAGTGAAAATCTTTTTTCATCCTAATGCTTCTGTACTGGTGGGGCTCTCAGTAGCAAGGACCTCAATCCTATCATTCAGTCTTACCCAATCAAAATGAAATAGAGCGATCATCAACTAATCTGTTTCATGTCTTATCTTTCTAGTCAGTTGGGAAATAGCAAAAATATAAAATTCAAAATATTAATTGTAAGTTGACAAGACTGTTAATTTTTCATGATGACTGACTAATAAATTACCTTCATCATAATGATTAATTGCTAAATTACTAATGCCTCACATCACAGGCCAAGAATCAAAAGTTAGTGTTTAAAGAGAAAGTACATGCCAGCTAATATTAATATAAACACTCTGAACGGTTATTGCTGTTCCTGGAGGGGTTGATACTGCAGTCTTTAATTGCCTGTGTATGTCGTAGTAATCTATGTAACTTGGGAATGTCAGCGAAGACAACGGGGAGACAAATTTGAGACCTTTGGCATATTTTTTGTGCAGGAGGAATGATCACCATCGGAAAGGTCTTGAACTGCATGTTCAAGCTTCTGTTCAAAAATACATTTGTCTGAAATATCTGTGAACTTTATATACTTTTAAAGTGGAGCCAGATGGGATGTCACACACACAGAATGTTTTTACTGTCTCTAATTCTTTGATATAGCTTGAGAAAGTTTAGTAAGGAGCTCTTTTAAAAATTATTTTTGTATTGGTTTTTTTAGGTGACCAGTCTGATTTACATATGTTGTAGACAGATATACCTGCCTGTTCCTCTTGATACTGTCTGGAGGCTCAGGTTTTAGCCCCTCTTTCTGTTTCTTAATTGGTATGGCACTAGTAGATTATCTGGCACTACTAGATTACTATGTAGCAGACTGCCAACGTTTTTAAGGAGTTTGCACATTTCACCTTGCCTTCAGAATTTAGCAAATTAGCCAAACAACTTGAGACTGTCCTCTTTCTTGACCCATGTTTTATTTCATTCTTCAATCACATTTGGCTCAGCCTTCCTCTGCTTTGCTTTCTCTATTCTTTTCACACTGATGGAGCCAGACTTTGTTAATGTGGCCAGAGAAGGAAGCTGAAAGCAGACACTCTAATATGTTCACGTAATTAGGCAGTTGCCCCAGACTCACCTATTTGGAGATAAAGCATATAAAGAAATAGATGGGGAAAGCCAAAAAGGCCCAAGGGCACTGGGGTGGGGGAAGGAATGAACAGGAGGGAAGACCAGGAGAGAAGAGACCATGTGTTCCATAGAGTAAAAAACCAGTAGGTGGCTTATGCTTATCTTTCTGGAATCTCTAGAGAAAGCCAAGTTTTTCTTCATATTTAGAATATTCAAGTTAGATGGGGGTTCAGTACTTGTTTTGAAGGCAGATATGTTCACTCCCTGGTATGTTAATTCCCAAAATGTGCTCTGTGGACCCATGCTGTCTAGCTGACAGCTGTGTGTGCTGCTGGAGTCAAACTGTTTCAGATTGCAAGAAGGCAGCATAGAACATGGCACATACCCCTGAAGTACCATCTTCTGCCTCACCGTATTGGAGGGAAGATCTTGTCTGTTACCTTTTGTCATCCCTTGTAAAGGGTAAGGGGAAATTTGGATAATAATAATAGTCCAGTTCTCTTTAGGCAAATGCAGGTTTGGTATTCTGTTGTTTCTAGAAAGCTGGAAACCAATGCACTTTCTGGGTCTGGTAAGACTGTACACAGAGTATTGTGGAATCCAGTTTTCTTCTGCGGGCTGTTTTGTGCCATCCCGTCCACTCCCCCCAGGCAGTGTAGCATCTTCTTTGTAAACTCCTGGACCCAGGTGCATACCACTGCCATTTTCTAACTCCCTGTCAAGTACATCAGGACACCTACCAACCTCTCTTTGTGCCATCATTTCCACAAAACTAAGGCACATAGGGTTGATGATGAAATCCTCTGATTTGTGTTTTGGACCACCAATGCTGCAAAACCCTGAAACATGCTGCAAAGTATGGGCACAGGTCAGTTTTCAGGTCTTGAGAAGCTGTTATAGAAAGGGAAGCAACTATTGTTTCCCACATACGATCCTGCTTGTAGTCCAGGGGTCGTGTACCTATGCAATTTTTGTGAAATACTTCTGCAGCAAATAGGGGTTGAGTCCTACGTTTCTGCTTCTTGGTAGTTGATACTTCTCTGGTGCACATTTGTATGTACGTAGTAACTCATTTAGCAACTGAGTACAGGGAAATAGGCCAAATCCCGCAGGCAATCATAGTTGATGTTAAAATATGTCTTCGTTTCTCTGTGTGACAGTTAATATTTTGTCTGAAAAAAAGCTGCTTCTTAGTATTCTTTAAAATTTTGTTGAAATGAGGCACGAGCTTTTGCATATTAAGTGCATGTGTGTGTATGCATGCACACACACATTAAATCCATAAATACATGGATTTTAACAAGTGAGATTTTTACATTTTTAAATAGAAGTCCATAGTTGAATTTCGGATGTAAGCATCCCTCAGCTGTTTTTAGAGATTAGATCAGTCATTCCCGTGCCCAAGTCCATCACTACTCAAGAACAAATGTATTACCATCAAAAATCTGTAACTATAAAAGCTGAGGGCAAAACCAGCTTAGTTTTCAGTTCAGTGATTTTTCATTTTATTGCTTGTAATATATGAAGTATAATTACTGTGTGCAGTTTTTCTTAATATGCTGGAGTTTGCATGAAAAAGCATAAGGTTTGATAAAAAGGATAGTGATTTTTACCCAGTCTTCTATAACCTAGTCATTTGCATGATTCTCTTTGTGTTGAGTGTGCTTTAGAACCCAGTAGCTGTTAGTGCGAAGATAACCCATTCTGTAAGCAGTGTAATTTTTTTAAAAGATTGCACAAAATTTTCATTTCATTAAATTTTACCCAACAATCCTTTTGTTCAATCCTTTTTCTGATCTATGCTGCTAAGGTTTTGTGTTCTTCCACTCCAGTGAATAATGTTTCCTCTTAAACTTTAACCTTTGATCCTCTCTCACCCAACTATTGACATCTGGTCATTATTTCTTTTACTGCTTTCCACCCCCTGTTGTCAGACGGACTGTTCTGTTGTCTAAAACACTTGATAGGTGGACAGGTTTATATAATCCGAGGTGAGTTCCTGTAGAAACTAATTGGATGTTGTCTTTTTCATGCAAAAGAAAACTTGCCAGCAGTAAAGCTGTCCACGGCTGCCTACCGTATTGGTTTATAAAAGCATACGTTTATTATTTGTGGCACTCTCTAATGCAAAGGTTGCATTTTTCTCTGATTATGGATGTTGGGATTTCCGTGTACCTGCAAAGTGAAAATATTCAATGTGTTTCTTTTTACGTAAACTCCAATCTTTTAATAATAATATTCGTTAACATGAATATGATGGGAATAAAGAATGAGACACCTGATTGCTTTGTATCGTTTTAGACTTCTTGGAATCCATTAACTTCATGAAATGTGCATCCTTTTGCAGGAGCATGGCTTGGTGCTTCTAGTAAAATGAAAATAGAGCTTTAAAAATGCGGGTTTATACCCAAATACTAACGCCCAGTGCGTGCTACCCACGTTTACTTGCATTAGCTTCTTAAACGTACTTCCTAAGAGCACTTATAAGCTATGTTTTCAACAACCGTCTTGAATTATGCAAAAACTTATTTCTCTTTAAAAGTGTATTAAATTTATTCCTTCATGAAACTAGGAACTTCCACCTTTGAATGCACTTTGCTACATTTGGGTCTTTAAAATGAGTAAGATGGATAAACCCAAAGTGAGAACCGCATCCATCCAGAGATTATTCTTAAGCATTTTCATTATGGCTGGTTTGGTATCATCACTGCATATCAATGTTGTGGGATTTTTTTTGTCTTCATTAGTTGCCTTCATTCCACTTTGTTTATTCTCTGAAAACTCAGCGGTATGCTTCCTAGTGTTGTGGCTAGTTGGAGCTTGCTTAGTGTTAGTGCAAGTTCAGTTTGTTTAGAACAAATAAGCGGGGTTGACGATTGAGGTATAGCTTTATTTAACCCGTTTACGTAGTACTGAAGCTAGTTAATTTGTTAGTGTGTTTGTAATATTTTGCTTGTCATCTTTCCATGTGTCTCAACCAAGCTGTGTTCGGTCAGCCTGGTATATACCATATCCTTGTATCTTGTAAACACCTCGTTCTCGAAACCTTTCGTTCGAAGATATCTGACGTTCCAAAACATGGTTTATTTTGTAGATACATACGTTAAGTTAACACTGCTGAACTCGATGGGGCAAGAGATGTCCAAATGCAAAACTTCAATCCGCCGAGGACAGCCAAATCCCGTATACAAAGAAACGTTCGTTTTCCAAGTGGCACTGTTTCAGCTCTCAGATGTGACGCTCATACTGTCTGTATATAACAAGCGCAGCATGAAACGAAAAGAGATGATAGGTTGGATTTCCTTAGGTCTCAACAGCTCAGGAGAAGATGAACTCAATCACTGGACTGAAATGAAAGAATCTAAAGGACAGCAAGTATGTAGATGGCATACTTTACTAGAATCGTAATGGATGGTGTGAAGTGCGGTTGTGCTTTTCAGGGAGTTTGGTCTCTCAAGGTGATGATCATCCCCGGTCACAATCAACGGATTTGTTGTGGAAGTAGGAAAACCAACAAAAATTGAGCTCAACATTCCATCGTAAAGAATGCACGACGTGCAATGTGGTGGGACTTTAATGTATAACCTTCACTTAGTGTCAGACACTCCCTTGGTGTCAGGGAAGCCTTGCTCTTCGCAGATATGTTAGTGCTCCCTCCCCCACCCACCTGATGCTGTATTTGTTTGGGTTTGTTTTGTGGTTTTCAGAAACATTTTATGTAAGGTTTTCCAAATTAATGTAAGCTCCTCCTTGTGTATTTTTTGTATTGCTATAATACTGTACCTTCTGACCTGCCTGCATTCAGATTAAAGGTCAGTAATTTGCACTTTGCTCTACAGACCATTAACTTTTTCTCAAAAGAAAGAAAATCCAGTACTGGTGGAGAACACTTAGTAATAGAGCAAGTATGAATATACTGTTGGTTTACACTGAGTTTCTTTCCAGGAGCTTAGTACAAGTAAGTTTTTTAATTTTTTTTAATATGCAGTTTGTTTGAAGAATACTAGCATTTGGGCATCAGGTGAACTTTGACGTCATACTAATGTTTCTTCAATCTGTGACAGGAACGAGCACTATATATGGCATAAATTGGGGTTTTTCCCTCTTGCCTGTACTTCTGCCTAATCCAGAGACCAGATCGTTAGTTTGGTCCCTTCCAAGTCTCCTTAGACAGGTTGTACTGTAAAACTATGTAACTTTCTGTTGAAAGCACTTCCTGTATTCATGTATTCCAATGTAGGAAGCTCATAGAGCACGACTTTACTAAAATATATTTTCATTAAACGAATTGATATAGATTTCTTTAAAATGTCAGCAGTTGGAAGTTAGGTTGAAAGACTGTGAAGGAAGTGGCAGCAGTTGGACTACTCTGAATGGGTGTGAAATACCGTGACTTTGGTTGAAATGGGTATCCATTGGTGTCTCTTCTGAGCTGTTTTAGAGATTACCATACGCCACTTGTTGGAAGTAGAGGGCAGACCAGGAGTTTTTATCTTTCTTCTTGAAGAAGAGAGCATCAGTAAGTTGTATTTCTAGTGATTTGCCAGCAATGGAATGAATGTTCACACGCAAAATGGAAGTTTGCTTTGCTCAGTGTTCGAGTTGGGAAGCAGAGCTTTCTAGCGATGCGGTTGAGAAGCCACAGCATCACAAGAAGGTTTGCCACCAGAGAAACACTCATGGCTTCCACTGAAATTAGGGAAATACCAGTGCTTCTGAGGTTCCTGTTTGTCCCAAATACTTTAATTGGAATCACGCTAATTTACTGACTGTTGAATCTAATTCATTTTACTAAAATTGGGGGTTATTGAGTAAATGTATTTTTTAAAGGCTGCCCAATTCACGTATTCTTTTTGCCTGTAATTGTAAGTTTCATTTACTTTTAATTGTTGCTGTATGGAAAGCAAGCAATCTTTTTTCTTGTAAATGATGGTGATGTCTTACAAATATGAGACCTCACTGACTGTTGTAGCCCTTGGTGGGTAGAAGAGTGAAGTTTTGGATTCTGTTGAGAGAAGTAGTGGCAGCCTAGAGCGTTCTCATTAGGACAAATGTTTTGGTCTTGAATTTCTTTATAATACCTTTGAACAATCCTGGCTTTAGGCTATACAGGCAGTCAAGTACGATGAGATTGAGACAGTCAGTATACTATAATAAAGATATTTTGCATGGTTCTCAAATTCTCACACTACTTAGCAATTTCATTATTTCCTTTTTAAAGGATATTGTAATGCGACTTCTTGGTTTATTTGGTGCCTTTTGATGGGTTTATTTTGCAGAGCCAGGCTTTCAGGTTTTATTGATTCAAAGATTTAAAACTTTATTACAGGCCTTTCTTTTTTTTCTGGTGTTTCTTTAAACAGGAATTGTCTTGCAGTAATACAAGTTGTCTCTTTCAGTCCTTTTTGTTGCTCAGTTTGTGAAATGTAATGTTGAGTGTAGAATTTAATAAAAAATCAACATTAATTTTATATGCATAAGGAAAATGCTTAGATTTTCCCGATCCTTTCAGCTTTCTGTATAATAGAAACACTGCCTTAGAAGCTAATCAAAAGCAATTTTGCAGTGGATGTGGAAGTGTTTTTACTCATGCTGTTTGTGGATATTTGGGTGCTCTTTCCTAAAGCTGAAAGTTCTCTTGAATATTGTCTCTTTGCACAGGTTTTGCTTTATAAAATAACGTGTGATATTTAACAGCAAGAACTGAGGAAATTCATTCCAGTGGAGAATACATTTAACATCACCATTGAACAAGTGAAGTCATCAGTTTGGAAGGTGCAGCAAATAACCTCTTACAGAACCAAACTAAACTAAACTGTCATGACTTGGGTTTCTGTTTGTAGGTTGCATTGCTTCCGTTTTACATCTAACCATTCATGTTTCTGAGACACTGACATTTTCATTTACACACAGCCGAAGTTTATAGTAGCCTGTGTTGGGCACATTTGGGAAGAGGAATCTCTTTGTAGATCCATGTGACTCTTCTCAAGGTATCCAGGTCCAGTCTGTGCTTCACAGAAAGAGGTTTGGCTTACTTGGATTTGTCCTGTACAAAGGCTGGGAACTGAATGTGTAAAGGATGGAAATCAGAGTTTAATTTTGAGGCAGCAGAATATGGATTTGCCATGCAAAACCAGTCACACCAATAATGGGATTCACCCTGCGATTTTTATGAATTAGTTATACTATCAATAGCTGTCGTGTTGTTTTTTCTTCCTAGATCCCATGCTTAGGATTTTTTTGTAATTTTGTTTTTCTTATTGTTTTATGTAAAGCTATACTCTTGTATTTGAAATCTGCCTGTAGATGATTTTTTTTAAACCCTGCATAAGAGCCTATACATAATGTGGGTTTTTGTGCATTCAGTTAGGTCTTAAACAGGGAACAGAATTTCTAAATTACAAAGTATCAGAAACAGGGGCATTAGTGTTTTTCCTCTGAGTTGTCTGTGCTTGTTGTCGTAGCTTTTTGTTGTTTTCCTTTGTTCAGAAGTACAGTAAATACTTGGTAGTGTTTATCAAACTATTTAATTACTTTTCAGTGTGCTAATATACCACATAGAGAATGATTCTTGAATTGAATCTGTTTCCTGTCAATCTAGCCTTAAATAATTATAGAACAGTGACGTTCTTACAGATTCTATTCTTGAAAATATTGCATCCTTCCTGCATAAGATCCATTTGGTTTAATGTTTAGAACATTTCACATAGGTGGTCTTTGAAGTATTATAAATATGAACAAGCTGGTTAGTTCCTTTCTGTGGTAAGGGCAGGAGCGTAAGGTAAAGGCAGTACAGGCAAGCGTGAAATCACCGCGCAGAAGGATGGGGGGTTGTACAGTCTCCGCAGGACATTGCTGTCTCCCCACACATGTAGAGGGAAGGAGTCAGCAGAGCTGTGCTTCTGTTCCCCGTTCAGCCACGCAGCACAAAGACGAAGGATAGAGCTGGTAAGGTTCAAAGCTTAGCCCCCGTGGTGCTGCCTCATGCTCAGGACTTGACATCCGCATTGTAACCACACTGATGGGTCTGACTGCAAAGACAGAAGTTAGGCAAGGTGTAAGTTCTGCTACTGGAGAAATAGGACATCATTTCTAAATCCAGGTAAAATCCTCTAACCTGTTAGTATTTAGATTTCAAAATATGGCGAGCCCTTGGAATAAATGTATGTGCTTTTACTGGAGCTGAATATTGTCAATTAAGAGAATACGTGAGCTAAAACCAGACTTTTTGGCATTTACTGTAGGCGATGTTTTCACCTGCAAATTTTTGCCACCTTTCCTGATGGCACATATAGTGCCAGCATCAGTACCTTCCCATTTTTCACACCTTTGGAGCGATTTCTTTTTGTTGCCTAAAATTTGTGTTTGTGTTACTGATTTTTTTTCTCTTTTCTTGCTAATGACTTGCTCCTGCAGATTTCCCAGCACCCTGAGAAGTTGTGGCAGTCACTGGACCTTAGAACTCAGTGGCATTCTGCACCTCTTACAGTAAGGTACTGGTGCAAACTGACCTGTCCAACTCCTTAAGATTTCTGAAATGCAAACCATCAGCTTTAGTATAGGGAAACAGAAGAAAATGTTGTCTTTGAAGGAGGTATTTTAATGTAGGGAGTGAATACAGATTGCGCTTACAAGTTCTAACAGAAACCCCGTGGTAAAATCCGAAAATGAGGTTTGAGGGGAAGCCTTTTGGCCTGAGCTGTTCCAACAGCAGAATGCCCTTTCATTTAATTCAGACTTGTATTGAGCCCTTTACTTATTCATCACACTTTTCTGGAGGGGAAAAAAAGCTGTCTTGTTTAAAGCAGTCTTTGAAATTACGGCTCATCACTTGTAAGGCAGCCTGACTCCCTCCTGAAGCTGAATAACAGCTGAACATCCATTTAATTCTCCCACTGATGTGCCTGCCTTCCTGCCATTAACGTTAACGAGAGGAGCCCATGGGCATTGACAGGAGCGTAGGCCTGACCCTGGCAGCGTGATGTGCAATAAGGCAGTGGTACAGCATGGCACCTGCAACACAATCAAATATGATTTCCATTATCAATAGGGTTAAAAAACCCAAATACCAGATAGTGTCACAAACTGGGTATTTAATCATTATCCCTTTTGTTTCTTCTTTTCTTCTGAAATATTGTTAAAACTTCAGTGTTAAAATGTTAAAGCAATCCCCAAACATCTTGATTGTTTGAACTGGAACGTTCAGCAGAATTTATTGTTAGAACGAGCCATCAAGAACGTTCTGTATCTTTTCTCTGTTTATCTCAACTGCCAGATTTTGTAGGCCTTCACAGCTGGATTTCAGACTACTTAGTTCTGATGGTAGTTTTTGAGGGGAAGGGCACGAGAACGTTTGCTTGTCAGTGAATCAACACCTAATGAAGAGGTGTCATCCGAGAGTGAGAGCC